CCGAATGGCATGACATTAAACTCATATAGACCTTGACGAGTAACGAATGCTGTCTTAGCCTTATCCTGTGGCTCTAGCTCAACTTGCCAGTAACCAGCATTTAAGTCCAACGTACTAAACCAATTGGCACCACGCAGCTGGTTTAGAGACTCGTCAATACGAGGTAATGGGTATGCGTCTTTTGTTGTAACACTGTTTAAACACCTGTAGTCTACACAAAATCTTGTAGACCCATCTTTCTTCTTCACTAGTACAATTGATGAAGACCAAGGGCTTTGTGACGGTTCTATAATTCCTCTTCGTAACATGTCAGATACATGTTCTTTAACCTCCTCTTGCATGTGAAATGGGAGACGCTTAGGTGCCTGCTTAATAGGTGCATTTGTACCTGTCTCTATTTTGTGCCTGACTTTAGCAGTTCGTCCAACGTCTTCGTCAGTCTTGAAAAACAGTGATGCAAACTTCAATAACAGACTTTTGGCTTTCTGTCTATTTTTCTCGTCTAAATGACAAGTACTGCTTTCATAGAGCTCTTCCAAATACAATGGCATGTCACTATTCTCATCAAGATGATCATTCTTCTCTGTCATCAAAGACACAACCTCATCAACTGAAGTTAATTTCCCTACAACAGTTCCTGGGTACATGGTTCTACTATCATCTGAAATATTCATGATACGGATGGGAACAGTGTCCTGTCTCCGGACAAGTGTTTTAGCCAGCAAGCAAGAATCTGAATTAAGAAGTTTCTCAGCTGGCTCTATCAAACCAATTTTTGTTGGAAGAGTTCCATCCGAACTAGCACATATCTGTCCTTTCACCATCACTTCTGATCTAGGTGGTACAGTAATCCTATGTACAATGGCTACCTTATATGAGCTCGCTGACCCCTCAAGCTGAATAGGGTGTTCTATGCCTGAGATTGATATCTGTTGCCTATGCATGTCAATAACTGACTCATGTTTTACCAAGAAATCTAGACCTAGTATTCCGTCTACCGTAATATCAGCTATAATCATCTCATGTTGCATCTCAACATCATCCAACTTGAAATCCACTGGAACCTTTCCCAACACTCTAAGTGTAGTTCCGCTTGCAGTTAATACGTCTCTCTTGACTTCGGTCAATGCATTGATTCCTGTCCTTGCAATATTTTCATAACATATTGTAGACAGCAAAGATACTGTAGCACCTGTATCAATCAACAAGTATGCATCCATTCCATGGATACGGGCAGTAACATAAACCCCCTCTCCCATTAATAGAGCTTAAAGATCTAGAGTACTCATCCTCTGACTTGTGATCTTTCTTTGGAACTGTACCAGGCTTCTCATGCTGCACCTTTTTAGTATTGATCTCGTTCCTAAACTTGTTTTCAGGCTCTTTCCTCAGCTGTGGGCAGTCTTTTCTCAGATGCTTATCGGATCCACACTTGTAGCATTTCCTAGCTCGAATTTTATCGTCTGTATGTGTCGTTGGACGAGGCATACGTGTCTGACTTTGTGACTGAAACTTCCACTGTTTCAGTTCCCTCATATCACGCTGTAATGAGCGCATGTTCTTTTCAACTGTTTCTATGAAATGATCGAGTTTCGAAGTCTTAGACGAGTCTTCAGTATTCTCACTCATCACCCTGACAGTATCTATGCGACGGCTCTCTGCTCTGTTGTATGCTTCTAGTTCCACAGCTCTCTGTATCGCATCATTCAGGTTCATGGGTCTCGCTTGCTTAATCTTGAGACGCATCTCAGAGTTGTGCAACCCATCTAGGAATTGTTCTGTAGCGAGAATTTCCCGGACATCATCGGGAGCCGTTGGGTAGGCTAAATTTATGAGTCTTCTTATATCTTGACCCATCTCTGGCAAACTCTCAGACGCCTTTTGTCTTCTTTCTCTGAGCTGTGCTCTGTAAAGCTCTGTCTGGTTCAAAGGCGCAAACCTATCTTGGAGAGCCTTAACTAGCTTCTTGTAGTTCTGTCGTCCCTCTTTAGGCTGATTTCCTAATACTACTTGTGCCTGGCCTCTAAGGGACGCAGCCAAGTATAATCCCTTCTCAGTCTCTGTCCATTCATTCAAAAGGCATACCGATTCGAAGTGAGACAGATAATCATTCCACAAACCAGATCCGTCATATGTAGCGGGCTTTACAAAATTTCTGGATCGAGTTTGTCTCTGGTTTGGATGCGTCCTCTGCTTGGGAGCACGCAATGGTGGTCGCTCATTAGATACAGAACTCTCATCATCATTCGTACATGAACATACATCATCACTGACATATCCACTCACACTATCTCTCCGTCTCTCATTCGGGGTACTGGTACATATGACTGGTCTGTGTCTCGGGACTCCAGGAGTTTGTGTGCCAGGAGAATTTCTACTCATTACAGAGTCATGTATCTCTCTATTGAGACGAACTATTTCTCTCTCCAAAAAATCAACTTCGGCTTGTAAACCTGACATGCTTAAACAAGTAGCAAAATGATAGCAATGAAATTAAGAGTAATGATCCAAATCCCACCGCTGCCACCAATTTTTGTAACGTGTTCTGGGTCCGATGATTTGGATCAGTCCGCATGATTATAAAAATGATCAGATTTACAGAAAATAATTACCAAAATAAATAAGATGAAAACGAGTCAATATATACATATATTTCTAGGGTTATCTTTCCCTTTAATATGAAAACAAATCAACAGCAATGAGATATCGGACCGGGCTATATATATATATATATATATATATATATATATATATGTGTCCCTTATATACGCAGCCTGTAGCCATATATATATATATATATACCGCTTGTATTTATCTACAGTAAATATACCACTGCAAATCAAGCTAGTAAAACAATACAACACTGGGCAATTGTATTAACACTGTTATACTTTTTATTATCTCTACCACCGTACCTGCTCTCCTAACAGCCAAATGCGCTCTTATATATACTCTAGCGCAACATCCGGACTACCCTCTGCTTTCACCATATATATAATGATAAAACCCGATTTTAACTGAATCTCGAGCCCGATCGTCACAGAATCTTAGGTATCGTCAAAAGAATTATGCAGAAGTCGTATTCATTAAAGAAAGTCAGGCTGGGTTCAGAAAAGGATGTCATTTTTACAGAAGATTTTTGATAGATATGGTTTATATATGGTATGAGCACGAGCAATATTTTTATGATGTAGAATGGATAACTGCTACAGTCAAACAAAGATTAAATTAAAAGATCAAAATATTGAAAAGTGGAATAGTGAAGTTCAAGAATCTTCGAAAAGTTGAAATTTTAGAATTTTTAAAAACCAATTTTGAGTGCGAAAAATATTTAACACTGTTATCATAAGAATTAAGAAAAACTTTTGTTATAATTTTAGAACTACAAATCACCACCTTCCAATTGAAACAGGTAGATGAAATGGTACTCAACGAAATGAAAGATTTTGTAGCGTGTGCAGCAGTATAATTAAATAAGGAGATGAATATATCATTATATTTTTGAATGTAGTACTTTAAACCAATTTAGGAAAGATTATTTGAACCAACACTTTTGTTCTAATCGAAATCTTCTAAAGTTTTTTGAGGTCATGTGCCAAAATGATGTTGATTCTTTGAAAAAAAAAATTATGTACATTTATTTCTAAAATTAATAGTATTGTCTGTTCTCCTTAGTTATCACCTTCTGCTTGACCCACTGTATTATATGTATGTATACATGTATATGTTTTATATGTTTCTATATCTCATGTACCATTTACGTGGTTTTGAGAGAATAAATTGAATTGCTGGTTTACATCAAATAGATACCATAGGGCAATTTCGGGTAAATAGATCACCCCTTTTATTTGACGGGAAAGCGAAAGGGGTACAAGTCAAAACGGCACCTGGTGAAAACGGCACTTAGGAAATATGCAAAACGGCACTTGAGAGTAGTCAAAACGGCACTTGAGAGTAGTCAAAACGGCACTTTTTTTATTTTGAGAATTTGATATTGTCTATACAGAAAATGGATCTTTATACATTACCTATATAGTAATAAATGTGTATATTATTATTGATAAAAATGTTTAAAAAATATTTTAGGAAAAAAATTAAACTGATTCATTTGAAAATTATTGTACTTTTGTACAGTGGTTAGATTTTTTAAATGTATTTCTATTTTTTTTTTTAAATTTATAGTGTTGCAAATATGTTTACTACTCTGTTTTGGGGGTTGCCTGTCACAGTTGACTAATTAGAAGCCAGTTAGAGTGTGTTTACTTAGAATACACTTGTAGGAATAGAAACAAAAGACCATTTCACACCTCCCCTTCAATAATCTGTTGATCGTCAATTTGCAATCATATACAGCTACTATATATTTGTATTTCTCGACAAGATGTCAAATGGATTGTACACAAGTTAGAAAAACTTAGATAATCCTCTACCAACTGTACATGTACCTAAAATATGAAAAGCCATACAACATTTAACAATATAATAAACATGTACATAGAAGAACAAAACATTTGTTTTTTTATAATGAAGATGATACAATGTTGATATTGTTAAAATAATTTCTACAGAATTAGATAGGAATGTGAGATAAAGTGACTCTTACTGTAAATATTTTTTTTTAAATCATTTACACTATTTCTTTTTTCATATTATCAACACTACACTACAAATATAATTATTCTTAATCCAACATATTGTTGTGTTATAGCTTATAAATACTACCTTTAAAAATAGATTGAAAATAAAGCAAAATTGAAGCCACAAAAAATTCTAAAGTCAATAAATTAAATTTAGAATTAGAAAAGAACTTATATCAAATATCTATCATAACACAATTTTATACTTTTTTTCCTCTAAGTGCCGTTTTAACCAAGTGCCGTTTTCACTAAGTGCCGTTTTAACCAAGTGCCGTTTTGCCTATTCCAGGTGCCGTTTTCACCAGGTGCCATTTTCACTAGGTACCGTTCTAACCAAGCGAAAGTAGCCCTGTCGACTCGCAGCAATCGAATCATGCCGAAGGGGAGCGATGATACACCTGTTCTTACGCAGGTTTCAGTTTTGTCTCTTGCATTAACAGCTGTATTTGCCACTGGAGCATTTATTTTTGCCCAGAGTGTAGGAAAAGCTCTATCAAGAGTTAACAAATTAGTAACTGCTTGGCTTTTTTTTGATGCGCTGATTCACTTTACCTTGGTAAGATTAAGAATGATTTCATGTTTTTTTTTTGGCCCCTTAAACTTTTCAGTAATAAACCATTTCTACTTTTTAGCTAGGCATTAGTGCTCAGGTGAGTGAAAGTAGCTATTATTACCTACTTTTTTTTATCTACATTTTGTGGCCAAAATACTGAACGGCGCAACATGGTCAATACCATATTTTTTTGATACCGTCACACTGATAATGAATGAATAAGACAATATTATGACCAAAAAACGATTACTTCCTGAACTGGCAATTTTACAATTACATTAGTTTCTATGCAAAATTGATAATATACGAAGTAATCATTTTTTGGCCAAATTTTTGCCATATCCATCATCAGTGTGACTGTATCAAAAAATTCAGTGCTCACCTTGTTGCGCCGTTCCTGCGTTTGGCCACAAAATGCAAGTAAAGCAGAAAGTAGGTAAAAATAGCTACTTTTGGTAGGTTTAAATACCTACGTAGCTTTTAATAGCTAGGTAAGTAGGAATAGTCTTTGGACATGTTGGACTGGACCTGCTGTAGTCCAAGATTCAGGAGTATATAGTTTTTATTGTGTCCATCTGTATGTCTGTCTGTCTGCAAAAACTTTAACCTTGTCCATCACTTTTGATTAGTGGAGCTATATTGTCTCTTTAGCCATGGTCCGGAGTCCGCATGTAGCTCGATCTCTCTTACCCATGGCTGCTTGATCACGAAAAGTGTCATAATCTTGAATATTTACGCCTCTCTGTTGTGACGTCATATTCAGTCAATGACAAGTTTGTTTCCATCACAACAATTGAAATAGTAGTATTCCGTTTACTGTGATTGGTTATTGAAAGGTCACATTAAAGTTCATTATCCGACTATGCTTTACTCGCATTGGTCAATATTTTAATGACCTACAAAATTTTCTCTTCTCATGCAACCACGGCCAGAATGGGAGAGGATCTTACATTTTGGCCATGGTTTGCGACGATGGTGGAGAGATGACTTTCGTATTTCACATGTGTATTCCTTGTGACAAGAATTTTCTTTGGGTTCCACCGAATTTGACCTTTTGACATTGACCTTGGACATGTTGGAGTTTGACACACTTTTACACAAAAATTCCAAAATATTACCTTGGCCATAACTTTTGAATGATAGATACCCCGGTACTAGGACTTTCATACTTCAAATGTTTATTCTTTGTGAAAAGACCTATCATTGGATACATGAACCAACAAATTTGACCTTTTGACCTTGACCTTATAGATTTATGTACTTTAAAAAAAATTAACCTTGACCATTTCTTTTGAAGGGTTAGGGCTAGGACTTTCATATGTAATCTTTGGAGAAGACCTTTTGACCAAGAACTTTGACCTTGATTTTGGAGTTTGACCTATTTTTAAGAAACAAACCCTGACCATAACTTTAGAATGATTAGGGCCAGGGCTTTCATACTTCACATATTTAATCCTTGTGATAAGACCTTTCATTGGATCTCAAGAACTTTGACTCTTTGACCTTGACCTTGGAGTTTGACCTACTTTTTAAAAACTTAAAACTTGGCTTCAACTTTTGAACGTCAGAGGTCAAATTTTATCAAGCAATCAAATTGTCGCCTGCAAAATCATTGTATTTTTGTTGAAACAAATAAGTCTACTGTTGTTGTGAATTTGACCTCTGACCTGACCCTCTATGGGATGTTGTTAGTTGTCAGTGTAGTGAGTACATGTATATGAGTTGATCTAACATCAAATTTTTATTAGATTGTAGCAGGGGCATTTCCAAGGTAAATGTTAAACTTTATAAGCATTCATTGCTCAAGTAAGACTGATCGAGTCAACCATATTTTGTCACAATTGATCTGCATATTGACGTCATTTTCACATTGTGACATCATAAACATGGAGCAAAATATTTTATTACATATGCTATTTAAAGAACATGTATTACTCTATGCATTGTGCCAAATTTCATTCTGATCTGAAGTTTTGGTTTTGTAAATATAGAGATAGTTCGTGAAAATTTTGATCACCCCTCGTACCTGTATTTTTCTCAAATTTTATCCAAACAAGATTTGCTTGTGAAGCATTGATCCCCCCTTTCCGTATGACAACTTTTGGCAAAGGTTTTAAGTTTCTGAAATGCAAATCAAACTCCAAGGTCAAGGGATGAAAAATTGTTGTAACCCAAAGAAGAATTGGATTTTTTCTCAATGAATATACCTATGAATTATGAAACTTCAAGAACTAACCATAAATTCTCATGCAAAATATTAAAGCCATAACACTGAATGTTCAAAAGTTATGGCCAAGGTCAGTGTTCAAAATTATTGTCGGTCCTGCTCCAACGTACAGTCAGAAGGACTCATGTATATTATGACTAAATGGGTCATTGAAATTATTTTGGGCCAATGATGATTTGCCGGGAAACAATTAAGTTAATGTCAAACTTAACCAGCAAGCTTGGAATAAATTCAGTGGGTTTTTTTTTACCGCTTGTCAGAACGGAAATACAAAAGCCCAAGAAGTTGCAATGCAGGTAACATATGTTGGTTTATACTCATTTACATTATCTTACATTATCTTTCCTTCATTTTCCAACCAATCAAAAGTTATGGGCAATGTTCAAGTTTCTGCAAACAAACTGAAAAAATAGATACACACAGACAGATGGGCAGGGTAAAAACTATATACACCCGAATCTTTGATTATGGAGGCATAAAAATGTTTTTCATTAGTGTTTAGAGAATCCTTAAGTTATCAATTCATGAATCCTCTTTAAGGATTGTATTTAGTAATTATACTCAGGAAAATGTTAAGGCCCTTGAGCCTCTTGCTGAGATCACTACCAAATTGTCAAATTCAAAGCCCCACTTCAGGCCTTAATGTGGGACCGAGTTATTCATAAAATTGAAGATGATAACATGTATTTGAAAAATTGTAAGCTAGAGAGAATATTTATTTGACAATCAAATAGCAAACTATTTGTAAAGAAACTAGTTGTTGGCATTTGCATTAGCTCGAGAGGTTACAGTCTTAGGAGCAAGTCCATATCCAAGTTAAAGATTTTGGAGCAAGTCCATTCTGCCCCAAAAAATTATGTCCTACTTAATCCAAACTTCATGGATATTGATCTCACCAACAACCTTGACTTTGACATTGGAAATATTTTGTACTTATGAGAAAACTTTAACCTTGACCATAACTTTTAAATGGTAAGAGCTAGGACTTTCATACTTCACATATGTAATCCTTTTGAGAAGACTTTTCATTGGATACCAAGAATGTTAACCCTTTGACCTTGACCTTGGAGTTCAGTGATAATTTTTAAATAGATGACTTATGATAGGGCGTCCATATTAGTCACAAAAAGTCATAAAAAATGACATCTCACCCAAAAAGACACCGAAAGCGAGGGACCACACTTTTTTGAATTTGCTTGTTTTTTTTAGGAAGGACCCTTTATATTCTGGTCACTGGTTTCAACCATAGAAAAATCAACTCATGTGACTGCACAAGTTTGTAAGACAATCATATTTTTGTGCTATGTTAAACGATACCGTATAAATGGAAATTTTGGCGAGGCGCAAATTTAGCGATTTCTACCTAAAATCTGGTATTTTATTTTTAGCGAGAAGTAATTTCAGCGATTTTTAAAATGCTAACTAAAAAAGCTATTACAAATAATACGCAGTTAATTTTTAGCGATATTCAGTTTTAGCGATGTCAGCACCCTCGCTAATAATGCCAAAATTAAATCCTCGCTAAAATTCTACTTATACGGTATTAGATCGTGAAATCTGCTTTAAACCTTCTCTTCAAAAGGAAACTTGGGTATGTATTTCTTGTAAAATTCATAAATACTTATAAGAATAGTACACATTGAGAATTTTATTCTGTTCATAAATAGTTTTGATGTCCAAAAATTAGAAATATCTGTGTATAAAATATAAATATCCAAGACCATTCGAAATGAAAGTGCCATTCTCCAGATTGACGTTTTGGACAGATTCATCCATGTGTGTTAGTCATGTTAGTTGTCAAAACCCTATGTTCTCTAAGATTTATATCTACATGTATTTATGATGAAGAAAGGTTCCTCTTCCAAAATAGTTGATTTCAGGGCCCCTGGGTCAATGGTATGGGGGGGGGGGTACATAGTCTGGAAATAAATTAATGCTTTCAAATCTGATCTTCGGTTTTAATCATACATTTATAAAGAAATAAAATTTATGATGAAATTCCAAAATTTTGTTCTGAAATATGTGGCCCAGGGTCAGTGATTCCTGTGGGGTGGGGTGCACAACTGGTGGGTATAAAGTGGAAATGCATTTTCTCTTTGTTACCCTGATCTATCTCTGGCTATTATTAAGTAACCACAGTAAGCATGCTAAGTGTTTAGTTATGATAGGCAATGGTGCCTCTTTCAAATTGTGAATTTCATGGCCATTGGTTTAAAACACGAACTAAATTCAATTGTTTGAAAGTCTACATGATACTCAGGTGACCTATAAGGCCCATTGGTCTCTTGTTTAGTTCATCTGAGCCGAAGGCTCAAGTGAGCTTTTCTGATCAAAATTTTGTACATTGTCCTTGTTGTCGTTGTAAACTTTTCACATTTTCATCTTCTTCTCAAGAACCACTAAACCAATTTCAACCAAACTTGCCACAAAGTATCCTTGGGTAAAGGGGATTTTAGTTTGTTCATATGAAGGGCCACACCCTGTTCAAAGGGATGATACTGGTAATTATGAATTAGTGAAAAATTAATGGAATCTTTTAAAAACCTTCTTCTCAAGAACCAGTCGGTCAGGAAACATAAAACTCATGTTGTAGCATCTTCATATAGTGTAAATTCAATTTTGTTTAAATCATAACCCCTGGGCATTGGGTAGGGTCAGAATAGGGGGATCAAAGTTAAACATAGGAATATATAGGTAATTAAAATAATATTCTTCTCAATAACCACTAGGCCAGGGAAGATGAAACTCATTTGGAAGCATCCTTAGGTAGTGACTGTGTAGATTCAAGTTTAAAACATGATCCCCATGGGAAAGGTGGGGCCACAATGGGGGATCAAAGTTTAACATAGGAAACCTTAGGAAAAATCTTTAAAAAGGTTCTTCTCAAGAACAGCAAAGCCATGACTGGTCAAAGTTATATAGAAGCATCCTCTGGTAGTGTAGATTCAAGTTTGTTCTCGTCATGACCCCGAGGTAGGTTGGGGCGGCAATGGGGTATCAAAGTTTAACATAACAATACATAGGAAAAATCTTTAGAAATCTTCTCAAGAACGGCAAAGCCATGATTGGTCATAGTGATATGGAAGCATCCTCTGGTAGTGTAGATTTAAATTTGTTCAAACATGACCCTGGGGTTAGGGTGGGGCAGCAATGGGCTATCAAAGTTTAACATAGGAATACATAGGAAATATCTTTAAAAATGTTCTTGTTAAGAACAGCAAAGCCATGATTGGTCATAATTATATGGAAACATCCTAAGGTAGTGTAGATTCAAGATTGTTCAAATCATGGCTTCGGGTGGGGGTGGGGGGGGGTTGGGAAGGAAAACTCGTTAAAATTCTTCACAAGAACAAAAAAGCCATGATTGATCATCAATATAAAAGCAATAAAAAAGGTATTGTAGATTTAAATTTGTTCAAATCATGACCAACAAGGAGAATGGAGGAGCCATTAAAGTGCATAGTATAATTTTGCACTTTAATGGCTCCTCCATTCTCCTGGTTGGTCATGATTTGAACAAATTTAAATATACATTACCTTTTTTGATGCTTTTTATATTTTGATGCCTTTATATTCCTTTGTATAACAAAGGAATATAAAGGCTATATATCAATAAAAAAAATTTATCTTGTAAAATCTGTGGGAAGTATAGATGTAAATTTGTTCAAATACCCCCCCCCCCCCCAATTCCCCATAACCCACTTTTATATTTAAACTTTTCAATATCGAACTGATTTTTCTTTAACCTAGCCAGTTGCTCAGGTGAGCTATGTGGCCCCTGGGCCTTTTGTTGTTAATATTAACATAATATTATTGCTCATACAATATATACAATTTAGCACACTTCAAGAAATTTTGAAAATATTACTTTTCTGGGGGCAAAAATATGCAATATACTGCATATAGTTCTTTGTTCAACATTTGTTCATTAGACCCTTTGGGGTAGGGCAAGGATATATTGGTTGATCCAAGATTTAATGCATAAAAATATATAGGAACAAGTGTTTCACATTCAAGACTATTCAAATTATTATCCCTGTGGGTAGGTAGAGGCCATAATTTGTGATTTTACATGGGGATACATAGTATAAATCATTAGAATCTTCCTTTTAAGAAAAGCAAATTCATGTTTTTAATTAGTTAAATTAATTCAGAAACATCTTCAGGTAAGGTATATTAGAATTTATTCAGATCATGTCCCCTGAGGATAGGAAAGGCCTCAATAAAAGATCAAAATGAAAAAAAAAATCAAAGTACTCAGAAGTACAGAGAGCCGGGCTCATTTACAGAGTAGAATGGATTTCTGACATGAATCACGTTTATATTCCGATGAAAAAATTATTTTAAAACTATCAATATAAATTATTACTATATATTACTATTTGTATGTGATTTTGCTAAATTGAATCAGATTTATTTTTAGACCGTGCTGTATTTTAGATACAGAATAGTTGGCAAATACAATGCTGTATACCATGTATACAGGGCTAATACAGAACGGAAACTAGCTCCGCCCACCACAGTACCGTTCTGTATTGCTAATACAGAACAGTAAACTTCAAAGAAAAACACCGCTATCGTGTCACAATCTCTTTTTAAAAATGCGGTGGTTTAAAAAGCCTGAGCACATGATTTAGCAATATCCATAATTGTGACACGATAGCGGTGTTTTTCTTTGAAGTTTACTGTTCTGTATTAGCAATACAGAACGGAACTGTGGTGGGCGGAGCTACTCTCCGTTCTGTATTAGCCCTGTATACAGTATTGTATTTGCCAACTATTCTGTATCTAAAATACAGCACGGTCTTAAAATAAATCTGATTCAATTTAGCAAAAGCATGTACAAAAAGTAAAATAATGCTGATGTTTTCCTGTTATAAATTTTGGGAAAATAGCCGGTATTTTCCTGAGAATGTAATATGTCAAAATTTCTCAATCACTTTTTAAAAACTTATTCCACACAGAATCTACACGTAATTTCGATCCAAACTAAAAGGAAAATTCGCAATTTAATGGAAAAAATCCTCTGTACTTAATTTCGATCCAAACGAAACGGAAAATTCGCAATTAAGAAAAACATCCACTCTCCTCGTGCAAAATCATTCAGGTCCATTTTTCCGCGTTTTTTATTTTTTAAAATCCTTCTGGCTGACGACAGTCACACGCCTCTTTCACTTTGTTTTTAATGTCGCAATTCAATTTGAAAATAAACATCCGTGACATCAAAGTCCATCGAAGAATTTTTCGTAAATCTAGTTAAACCGGGATTTTAAGACCCCTGAAATATGTTATGATAAATCTCCATCTACATGCAATAGTTCACAACAATGACAGTTAAATCCTCCAATTTATCCATTAAGACTGACTATCACTCGATTACGTCTACTCCGTTAAGTTGTCAAAACTAATCTGACCGAATTTTACGTTTTCTGTGGAAATATATATACTGTGGATGCGTACTCCCCGTCGGGGCCTCATCTACAGAACTCTGACGGAAGTTTGGATGCTGCAAAGTTATAAAGTGGGCGGAGCTATTTTTGATTGATTGTGTCACAAATCATTTAGAGAACTCGACAGGTTCTGTATCGTAGATACAAATTTGGGGGTGGCGACTCGTGCTAACGCACTCGTCCACCCCCAAATTTGTGTCTACAATACAGAACCCGTCTCGTTCTCTAAATATTACTTAGAAATCCATGCTTTGTGACTTAAGACAACAATTTGGGAATTAGCCTCACCGTCCGAAAATTGAGTCCATATGCAACCTTGAATTAAAATTGCTATTTAATATTGTTTTTAAATCAAACTACATTGAATAAGTGGAATTGCAGACTATAGAAGATGTCTTTGTTGATAATGACATGATCTTAAATGTTCTCAGAATACATGTATATGGTAGTCATCAGAAATCTGATGCACACATACTATTTTAATGTGAATTTGTTTTGAAAATAAAAATGTATATTTTCCTTCTAAGAACTTTTTACAATGCATGTTGATTGATTACAGGGAAGGAGTATGCCCTCGCTGACAAGAGATGGGGTGTGTCAGATCCAACCATTGTATCATTAGAAATTCTGACAGTCTTTATCACTGGACCTCTGGCGGTCTTCTTAATCTTTGCCATATTAAAGAACAAGGTTTACCGACACTTCATACAGATTGTTCTCTGCGTATGTGAACTTTACGGAGGTAAGGTGCCTAAAGCCATACTGCAGATTTGTATTTTGAGGTAAATTTTTCTTAGGTGCCTCCTTAAAATGCTGATATTTATGAACAAAGGGATCTTTGGGGATAGTCATGGAACATGTTTAGTGCCCCTCCACTTTTGAAAGTGCAGGGACATGAGTGTTGTGTACAGATCTAAAATTGTAGCCCTCCACCATGTCCACTTGCAAAGTGGTGGCATCTCAATATAAGAGAAAAATTATCGAAGAGATGTAAAACATTAGCAAACTTTATACTTGGTCAGAAGTTATTTTTTAGGTCACTTGAGTCATTCAACCTATTGTTATCTGTTTTGTCCGTCATTGTGTATTGTCCATTGTGTGTTAATATTTGGACAATTTCAGATTTTTTAAGGAACTGAAGAACCAATTTTATTAATCATGCATGTCAGTCATTCTACGATAAATGTACTAATTCTTGATACATGTATAAACATGAAAAAAAAAATATTTGTTTTAAAAAGCAAAATGAACATCATAATTCTATAAAGGACATTACAGTAGAGTGCTAAAATCTCCATGATTACATTGGTTATAATAAAATTTTGTCGACATTTCCAAGAAGAAAAAAAAAGGTATAGTATTCTTGAATTGAAGGAAAACTTTTGACATCGTCAATTAAAGTAAGGGAAAAAAGGGAATCAGCATCCATTTCTTTTGATTTGCAGCTCTACTTTCGTATTCTGTCATTGGTGGAAATCCAATTTTTTAAATGAGAGATAGAAATTATTTTTAGATCTAAATTAGACAATCATCATTTGCTTTATTTGACAACTGAATGGATTTTCATAATTAATATTGCTTCCAAATTGCTATATCAATAAAGATCAGTCTTCTTTTAAGCCACCAATCAAAGCCAAAGTGATGAGCATGAAAAATATTTATATTTGTATAATTTTTGCCATAGCTTAGCTGGTTTTCTCGACTTCATTACAGTTAATTGATATGTAAAGCAATATGAGCTGCATCTATAAAGTCATAAATTTTTGTTGCAAAATTGAAATTAACTACATGTATTTTAATGACAGAAAAAAGGATGTTTAAAAACTTCTGGTGCTCATATTTGTGATGAAGAAATGTTTGTAAGCTTTGATCGAAGCAAAATTACCTGGTGTCCGACATCTGTTTGTCTATCTCTGCATTTGTCTATTCATCTGTCTGTCCATCCATCTGAAAACATCATTGTCATCTTTGTTGTAATCTTTTCACATTTTAAACTTTCTCTCAAGGACCATAAGGCCAAACTTAACCAAACTTGGATACAAAGCATCCTTGGGTGAAGCATCATCTCAAGCCACTGTCCGGAGTCAGAATATATAGCTCTCCTACCCGTGGCTGCTTGATCACAAAAAGTGTCGTAATCTTGAATATTTAAGCCTCTCTATTGTGACGTCATATTCAGTCAGTGACAAGTTTTATTTCCATCGTAATTGAAATAATCAACTAACGTCAACAGTATACAAGAAATATTTCCTATACTGCGATTGGATATTGAAAGGTCACCGTAAAGTTTATCATCCGACTATGCTTTACTTGCATTAGTCAATATTTTAATGAACTATGAAGAATTCTCTCCTCGTTCAACCAAGGCCAGAATGGGAGAGGATCGTACATTTTGGCCTTGGTTTGCGACAATATGGGTGAAGGGGATTTGAAATTGTTAAGCTCAAGGGGCAAATCTCAGAGATAATCAAGAAAAGACAAAAATAGGGTCATTAAAAAATCTTCTCAAGAACTACTGAGCCAGAAAAGCTGAAGCTTATGTGGAAAAATCTTGGGTTAGTGTAGATTCTAAATGGTCCAAATTCTGAATTGCCAGGGGTAGGACTGGGCCACAATAGAGAATCAAAGTTTTACATTGATATATGTTGGGAAAATCTTCAAAAATCTTCTCAAGAATCACTGGGCCAGAAAAGTTGAAACTTGTGTGGAAGCTTTCGAAGATAGTGTAGATTCTAATTTTAGCTCACCTGAACGGAAAGCTCAAGTGAGCTTTTCTGATCACATTTTGTCTGTCATCCGTCTGTCTAGTTGTCTGTCTGTCTGTCCGTCTGTAAACTTTTCACATTTTTGACTTCTTCTCAAGAACCACTGGGCCAATTTAAACCAAACTTAGTACAAAGCATCCTTGGGTGAAGGGGGATTTAAATTCTTAAAATGAAGTGACAGGTCCTCTCACAAGGGGAGATAATCAAGAAAAGACAAAAATAGGGTGGGGTCATTAAGGACAGATGATGCAAACAAATTTTTTCTTTGGAAGATATTTAATTTCATGTCACAAGTTCAGAAAAGTGGATAATTCTTTGAATTTTTTCTCCAAAGAACTGGTAAATGAAAAAGACTTGGAAAATGTTAGTAATATTTCAATAGAATTACAAATATGGACAAAACACACTCATAATAGGTTTACAGATGAAAACAAATTTTAGAATATGTTAAATTGGTGCTAAAAGTGAAATATAAACTTTAGAAAAGTATACCAAGCCAGGTGAATTTTATCAGGACAAGCAAAATAGTAAAAACTAGAGCAAAGCTCGTTGCAAAGCAACGAGTAGGTCTTCCGTCCTGTTTGACCGGAAGTAGCTTTCATTTTTCACAAAAATGAGAAATAACGCCCAAAAATGCTTTGAATCCTCTAAAGTTATGTTAAGTAATGCAAAAATCAGCCATTTTTGCTACTTCCGGTTTGACCGGAAGTGACGACGAAGTACGGAAAATTAATTTTTAAGCTCCCAGAGACAGAGACGCTGGACATATTTTGACGACTCCATTAGATTAAGCTTGACATTTTCAACAACTTTGCTTGTTTAATGTATAACAAATTCTCAATACATTTTGAGATATCTGGAAAAAAAATTTGGCCCCTCTAAATCCCTTAATTTAGGGGTCAGCCCTTTTTCCGACATATCATTTGAAAGATCTTCTAATTCTGCACAAATTATGTTCTATATATTTTAACAAAATATTTTTAGTTTAGAAGATAAAAAGCAAAATATGAGTAATTTTTGGTTCATTTAAGCATTCTAATTTTTTAACCCTATATAGCGCCATTGTGAATAGAGAAATCGAAAAACAAAAACCGATGTGCACAACTTCAATTCTTCTATTATCTAAAATCAGTAGAATTTCTGGTCCAGCTTTAGCCGTCTCTGAGCCTTTGTCTGGAAACGAAAGCCTATAAATTTTCGTTTAAAGGGAAATAACTCAAAACCAGAAGTGACTTTTTGAAATTTTAGACAGCATTCTGATAGAATTTATAAATGTCTATAACCTCTGAAAATTTGAGCCAAATCTGTGGAGAAATGAGTGAGATATGAGGCCTCAAAGTTGTGGTCTAGGAAGTAGAAGAAAAAAAAAGAATAATAATCTTTACCATCAGAATCAGTAGAAGGTCTTCCGTTGGAAACGGAACACCTCAATTAGCCTAAATGATATTGCTGAATTCTTGTCATTTTGTTTTTCCTCATAAAATTCACCCGGCTTGGTATATTTTTCTAAATTTTATATTACACTTTTAGCACCAAGATAACATATTCTAAAATTTGTTTTCATCTGTAAACCTTTACTGAGTGTGATTTGTCTATTTGTTTTTTCATTGAAATATTACTAATATTTTGCAAGTCTATTTCATTTTCCAGTTCTCTGGAAAAAAATTCTAAGAATTATCCACTTTTCTGAACTTGTGACATGAGTATCTTCCAAAGAAAAAAATTGTTTGTATCATCTGTCCTTAAAAAATCTGCTCAAGAACTACTGGGCCAGAAAAGCTGAAACTTATGTGGAAAAATCTTGCGGTAGTGTAGATTCTAAATGGTTCAAATCATGACCCCCGTGGGTTGGGTGGGGCCACAATGGGGAATCAAAGTTTTACATAGAAATATAAAGGAAAAATCTTTAAAAATCTTCTCAAGAATCACTGGGCCAGAAAAGTGAAACTTATGTGGAAGCATTCCCGGGGTAGTGTAAATTCAAAATTGTTCAAATCAAGACCCCCAGGAGTTGGGCGGGGCCACAATAGGGAATCAAAGTTTTACTTAGAAATATATAGGAAAATCTTTAAAAATCTTCTCAAGTACCACAATGCTAGAAAAGCTGAAACTTATGTGAAAGCATTCTGGGGTAGTGTAGATTCTAAATTGTTCAAATCATGACCCCTGGGGGTTGGATGGGGTCACGATATGTATTACTAGGGGGAAATCTGGTAAAGAATAGCATGGTCAAAGCTACTCAGGTGAGCAATGTGGCCCATTGGCCTTTTGTTTTCAAATCATGACCCCCGGATGTAGAGTGGGGCCACAATAGAAATCATTTTTCATTGATTCATATGAGAATTTTTTTTCAAAAATCTTCTGAAGAACCACTAAGCCAGGAAAGCTGAAATTTATGTTGAATCATCCTGGAGTTAGATTCTAAATTGTTCAAATCATGACCCCTGGGGTCACAATAGGAAATCAAGTTTTACATTTAAATACATGTCTGTATGTAGGAAAAATGTTCATAAATCTTCTAAAGAACCACTAGCTGGGCCAATTAAGTTGAAACTTATGTTGAAGCACCCTGGGGTAGTGTAGATTCTAAATTATTCAAATCATGACCTGTGGTTGTATGTTTGGGGTCACAGTAGGTATTGCAAGTGGTAAATCTGGTTAAGATCAGCATGGCCAAAGTTACTCAGGTGCACTATGTGGTCCCTGGACCTCTTTGTTCGGTATAAGAAATTCTTCAATTTTCAGGTTTTGGAATAGGGTTGACATGCATGTGAATATAATATGTTTATAATAATATCTTTTAAGGATGGATGACATTTTGTCCAGAGTGGTTGACAGGAAGTCAAAATTTGAAGACAGACAATTTCTTGTATATGTGGGTGTACCTGGTCTTCTTTAATGGAATTTGGGTCCTAATTCCCATTCTGCTTCTTTGTCAGTCATGGATGGAAATGACAGGGACAGGGCAGGTCAAGCAGACAAAAGTTGTGGAAAGTGTAACCACTACCTCCGACACTCGTAAATACAACACCCGCTCTCATAATAAGAAGAGGGAGTAAAAGGGTCATTGACTTCATGTTTATTAAGAATTTTCAGTGCATGTGGAGTTTGACAATAGATTAGATGTTCTATATTGTTGAAGGATTCTTAAACCTGAAAATTTGCCCTACTTTAACGTATCCTGCTAACATATAAAAATGCTCTATGCGAGGATCAAACCGCAAACTTTTCTGATAACATCTGATATCTGATAGCAATTTTTTTTTAAATGTATAATAAGATTTAAATTTTTTGTACCAAATAACTCATCTAGCCATATTCAAAGTTATTTTTCAGCAAATCAAAACACAATCTGAAAATATGTTTCCTATTTCCCAGAAACCCAATTATAAAAGAATACAATAACTTACATGAAAGTTCATTTTTAGCTCTAGTGGTCGAATTCATCAAGAGATTCTCAAATTTCTATGCCTTAAATTTCATGAGTATGTAATTAATACTTTTTTTAGCTCACCTGAGCCGTAGGCTCAAGTGAGCTTTTCTGATCACATTTTGTCCGTCGTCCATCCGTCCGTCTGTCCGTCCATAAACTTTTCACATTTTTGACTTCTTCTCAAGAACCGATGGGCCAATTTTGACCAAACTTGGTATAAAGCATCCTTGGGTGAAGGGGAATTTAAATTGTAAAAATGAAGGGCCAAGTCCCTTCACAAGGGGAGATAATCAAGAAAAGACAAAAATTGGGTGGGGTCATTAAAAAATCTTCTCCCCAAGAACCACTGGGCCAGGAGAGCTGAAACTTATGTGGAAGCATCCTGGGGTAGTGCAGATTCTACATTGTTCAAATCATGACCCCCGGGGGTTGGGCGGGGCCACAATGGGATATCAAAGTTTGACATAGAAATATATAGGAAAAATCTTTGAAAATCTTCTTCTCAAGAACCACTGGGCCAGAAAAGCTGAAACTTATGTAGAAGCATCATGGGGTAGTTTAGATTCTAAATTGTTTAAATCAAGACCCCCGGGGGTAGGGCAGGGCCACAATGGGGAATCAAAGTTTTACATAGAAATATATAGGAAAAATCTTTTTCTCAAGAACCACTTGGCCAGAAAAGCTGAAAATTATGTGGAAGCATCCTGGGGTAGTGTAGATTTTAAATTGTCTAAATTATGATCAGTGGGGTAGGGTGGGGTCACAATATGTATTACAAGGGGGAAATCTAGTAAAGAACAGAATGGTCAAAGCTTCTCAGGTGAGCGATGTGGTCCATGGGCCTCTTGTCTTTTATAACAATTTTATTACCCCCATCTTTCAGAGATTGAGTTAATCATCTTGTCAAAAACACACTATTACGACGTCATTCTACCTATCAGTTGAAAAATCGTTTTAAATTCATTTATAAAAATTGTTATCAAATTTTTTAACCTGTAATTTCTTAATTTTGTTCAATTTTAAAGTTGCTTTAAAACAGCAAATACGCTCCATTTTACTATGATGCGCAAAGTATTGCACAATGAAAACCCCAGTCGGCCCCTTAAATATAACTTGGCACAGTGAATTATACGAAGATACATTTTTCTGTTCATCGGTTTTTGATTTCCTTAAGTGGTGTTGCCATGGTTACTAAAATAGAAATTTCCTTGAAATATTTCTAAACTGCTGCTCCTCCTACAGTTTTGGTCTGATTTCAGTATAGCTTGGCACCAATTTAAATTACATGTTAGATCTGCTTGCATAATCCCTACACAAACATCTTACAACATCCCATTGAGGGTTACGTCAGAGGTCAAATTCTATCAACCAATGAAATTGACGCCTGCAAAATCAACGTATGTATTATGTTGAAGTGAATAAGTCTAGAGTTGTTCCGAATTTGACCTGTGATGTGACCCTCTAGGGGATGTTGTACATGTACGATGTTTATGGCACGCTAAATTCACAAAAATGATCTAAACATAGTTTCACAGTTGTAAAAATAGGTTTATCGGTTGTAAACTATAGTGTACGGACTGTAAACCATAGCCAACAGCGTTAATCTATATTTTACATCTGTAAACCATAGTTAACGCGATAATACTGTATACAGGGTTATTTTCGCCCCGTGTTATTTTCGCCCTTTTATACTTGCTTACAATTTTGCCCCCCCGCTTTAAATTCGCCCAGTCCCAATTTTGTTTAAGAATTTATACTGTGTTCGCCCCGTTTTAAATTCGCCCACTTGTGACAAGGGCGAAAGGGGCGAAAATTTCCCCATATACAGTTACTGTATATGTTTCAGAACAGTAAACTATACTTAACACTGAAAACAATCATTTGCGATTCAAAACATAGATTATCTGATAAATACAGTTTCACGATTTGTAAACTATGGTTTACAACTATAGTTAACGATCTGATAAATATAGTTTCACGATTTGTTAAACAATGATTAACAACTCTTAGCTATAGTTCACAATTGTAAAGAATGAGGGCGCTTTTGAATGGCATTCGGCAGGAATCTGGGCGTACTTGAAAAGTGAAAATTTTATCGACATATCACAAGAAATTTTAACATTTTTTTAATTTATCGGGTTCGTGTGCAGTAGGAAAGGAAAATATTTTTCCGAAAGTGCATTTTCATTAGCTAAAAAATAACCTGAAAATTGACTAGATCAGACATTTCGTAAAAATGGTAAATTTTTAAACACATTTTTCTGATATTTTTTCTTTCTCTGGGTCTTCTGTCCATGATTTTGAAACGTTTGTGCGCATTTTAATTCAAAGAAACGAAATAGCAGTTTGTAAAAAATGGAGAGAAGACCCAGAGACCATAAAAATGAACTTTTTCCCAAAAAAAAATCCAACTGTGTAAATGATGCTTTTTTGTCCTTTAAAATCAACTGTATGTGTAGCGGTGATAGCTCAGTAATATGGGCTACCTGTTCACTGAACTAGATGAGGAAAGTTTTTGGTTCGAGCCTCGCATGGGGCGTTAATGTTTTTTTCATGCAAACAACCATTTATTTTGTCGGTGTCATTTTATGTACAGAAGTATTAAAATTTAAAATTGAATAAATTTTGATTCAGTTTGGTTCTCGAGCGAAATCAGTTCCAATCTTCTATTCTATGATGATCTATGTACACTTATCATCTATAGCTTTAATCTTATGGGTGTTTATTTTTGTGAAACATTACTATGTTATTGTACCTCGTATGAAAACGGTCATAAATGTTACAATCTGACAAGGTCTTTCAATCTAAATGAAAATAAATCCTATGATTGTGTTTGTAAAATCTGACCAGCTATGTTCAGACAACCAAAGCATGGACATTTAAACCATAAATGTTTCGTGTAAATGATTTCTGCATATCACACGCCAAATCTTATAGTTTACAGAATCTATGTTTATCAACAAAATCTATTGTTAACGTTTTATTACAGACAGATAAACTTAGATTAGCATTCGTAAACTATAGTTAACAACCCTTAAATATAGTTTTACAGATGTTAACGATTAGTTAACTTTAGTTCACAGTTTGTAAACTATAGTTTACAGTCGATAAACCTAGTCTATCAACTGTGAAACTAGTTTAGCTCATTTTTGTGAATTTGGCGTGCCATAGATGTTAGTGTAGCAAGTATGCAAGTGGATCTAACATATATTTTAATTCCATTAACTTGGCACACAAGTAGAATAAAATCGGTTCATATTGATTTCCATGAAAGGCATTGCCATGGTTAATACAAAAAACAGAAATTTCCTTGAAAGATTTTCAAAATGCTTCTCATTGACCTTGGTGTCATTTGAAAGAACTTAATTGTTGGAGTATGCATGCCAAATATGCAGTCTCTATCTTCAAATATTATGGCGAAGGTACGAAAAAGATATTTTTAGCATATAGGTTACAGTCAAGGTCACAGGGTGATTGATCTTGATGGTATTTGAAAGAACTTAATTAGTTGAGAATGCATACCAAATATGAAGTCTCTATCTCTCATGGTTCAAAAGTTATTGTGAAGGTTCAAAAAAGCTATTTTTAGCATATAGGTCAAGGTCACAATGTCATTGACTTTGGTGTCATTTGAAAGAGCTTAATCAGTGGAGTATGTATATCAAATATGAAGTATCTATCTTTCATGGTTCAAAAGTTATGGGAAAGGTTGAAGTTTGCAGACATACAGACAGGACAAAAACAATATGCGTCCCCGATCTATCGATCCGGGCGCATAAAAACCCCACTGCCCCAGCAAACTCAGGGAGTTGTGACTCTCTGTTTTAGGTGTATTAGTAAATAGGATGTCAAATATGAACTCTCTATCATTTGTCATTCAAAGGTAGTCACCAAAGTTAAGATATTTGGAAATTAGGTCAAATATCAAAGTAACAGATTAAAAAATTATAGTATATTTGGAAACACCTTGTCACAGGTAATGCAACTTGAAAATATGAAAGCCCTATTTCTTCTCAATCAAAAGGTATAAGGTAAAATAATATTTTGATAAGTAGGTTAAACGTACAGGTCTCAGGGTCAAAAGTTATATACATGTGTAATATGAAAGGTTTTCTCTTCCAAAAGTTGTGACCTAAAGTAATGTTTAAACTTTTGAAAAGTAGGTCAAATTTCAAGATCAAAGGTTAGAAAATTACAGTATATTTGGAAAGGTCTTGTCACAGGTAATTTACATGTGAAATACGGAAGCCATATCTCCTCTCATTCAATAGTTATGACCAAGGTTTAAGTTTTTATGACAGATGGACAGACTAATAGACGAATGAGATTTAATTTCCCCTTATCTACATGTATGTATGTGAATAACGCACCTATTACCTTCACAAATTTAAAAAAAACGGTCAAAATCATGATTATGAACTTCGAGTCGGTCTGGGTACAGCCGAAGGTTTGGAATACACCAGTTTGTTAAAAGACCGACTCCTATGCGTGTTACCCGACCTTAACATTAAAACATAATGAGAAAATACAATACTGAATATAGTTCCTGTACCTTATCTTGAAGTCGCCTTATGTGACACATTTTGTTAATTGATGGCCTCATAAACACCAGGATATTAATGGTTGAATCAGGCCCAGACTTTGGTGCAGCATTAACAGGAATCGGCTGATTCGTCGAATTTCTCGTGTCAGATTAATTC